CCAAAATTTAACCTTGGCCATAACTTTTGAATAGTTGGTGCCAGGGATTTCATACTTCACATTTGAATTTATTGTGATAAAACCTTTTGATGGGTATAAATATTTTTGACATTTGACTTTGACCTTAGAGTTTGACCCACTTTTATAAAACTTTTGAACAGTTAATACCAAGGCTTTCATAATTCCCAGGTTTATTACTTATGACAAGACATTCCTTTGGATACCAACAATTTTGACCTTGACTTTGGATTTGCATTAGAAAAAGTTCAATCCTTGCCATAAGCTGCCATTTGGCCGGCCTGGGTACTATCAGTGTTTCAATGTCACACCTTGTTTTAATTTAAAGATGTTAAACATGACCATGTAAGGATGAAAATGTGATAATTCGTTATTATGTTCAAGCTTAAAAAAAGGTTTTATAAGCTCTGATTTTATCACCTCCAATATATTATCTCAACACACAGTAAAACTTAATTGGTATCAGCTGAGTAAAAAGTTTTCATATTTTTCTTATCATATCTATAGAGCTTCTTCTTAACAGTTTATTATGTAATAAAACAAAAATTATGACCATCTGTTGTAATCTTAGAGCTGTGTGGCAAAAGCAAAAAAGAGAAAAATAATAGAACAGATTGATTTACTGTAGAAATTCTTTCGATGGCAAATAACTCATAATTCTTAAACCTTAAACCTCTCATTATCTAAATCATGTTTTTTGAGAAAACCAATACAGGTATGATGGTTCATACAAAGAGAAATATTGATAACATAATGTTTGGTGTGTGTTTCAAACATTTCATTTAAGTAAACGAATCATATTACATCAATCTGAATGTTACCTCATATCGATAATTCCTCCTATCCCATTTCTTGCTGGAGTCTGTGAAGTATATGATACCATCCTTTGTAATGTCTAGAGCATTCAGGAACTTAAAAGCCTCACCATTTACTCCTATTGGAAAAAAGGAGTAATCCATTCAAATCCACAAAGTTCAGTATAGATTAAACAAGTGTTTTGAAATATTTGTTCGTGATGTCATACAAATGTACATTATAAAATAGGAATATGCACTTTTAGTTTAAAATTACTTTATTTCAGGATTAACACTTAGTTAAAATACAATTTCCTATTTAAGAGGTTCAAGTCTTAAAAATGGACATGGCATTATTAAGTGTACTGGTACATGTCCAGGTTCTGGGAAATGATTAAAAATATTTAAAAAATCTGGTCAACATTACTGAAATGACAGAAATGGCAAATACTTCAAATTCCTTTTGAAAAATATGGATATTTTAATTTCTGTCCTACTTTTTTGTAACAACCTGTGGTACTGGAAACTAGGACTTGTATTTCCCCCGTTTTTGTGTCCACCTGTAGCAGTCCTTTGTAGGAATCAACCACAATAAGGGGGTGGGAGGGGTCCGCTGTGTTGATCTTCATTCCTTTGGGTCGCCCACAGATAGGCTCAAACTCAAACGTACCTTAAAGATACCATTATATCCTTTTATTTCAGGCTTTGCTGGCTAAATGTACTATACATGTATACTAGTATTAGCTTAATAAGCTAGATCATTCCATTTTTTTTTCTATTTTTTATTATTTACCATTTATTAATTTACCTAGTTACCTTTTTCACAAAAAAAGAAGAAAAATCATTTGATTAAGCTTCTTTGCTAGCTAGAAAAGAGTTTCTAATCTTAAATCTACATGTATATACTCTAGCTACAAAAGTATAGATTTAAGAATGGACAACCTTTATAAGGAAAGAAGAAATTTTGGTACTTAAGCATTAATTCACTCAATAAATAATTGCCCTGCAAAAGAGCAGTACCACAGTTATCATGAAAGTCTATTGCGCTCCGTTTTTATTACCTACCACATTGTGGGTGGAACTCTCCTATCCTTGTTACCTGCCAGAGTTGTTCCCCTTTGAATCCTACTATTCTTCCATCAGCTAAGCCTGTGTATAGGACTCCTTGATGGGAAAAATGAAGAAAAATTACTTTTTACATTTTTATCTAGGATCAATAACAATTATCTTTCCTTTGGTAATCTTTTCTTGATAAAAGGTTGATTTTAAAAACAATTTTATGAGCTCTCCCTCATAATCTCAATTGCAAGACATTCTTTCCTGGTCCATTTGCCCATTTCTTTTACAAATGAGTAGATCTAAGTTGCAGTAAAGCAAAATTAATTGCAATTTTTTGAATAGTATATATTCTTGTTACACCATCCACCCCTCATAAATATTATAAGCTACATATATTTTAAATTCATCTGCTATGTAAATTAAGTGAAATTTATAAGGAAAGGCAATGTTAGTTATTTGTTTATGAAAATATTCAAGGCAAAACAAACACCTCCAAATGTTATAATCTTACCATCTGAGCCTACGGCAAAAGACTCTGGACCAGTGATCTCCCCTTCAAATGCTCTTGTTGCATTCCTAAGATGGGAGTTAATTGTCAATGGCCCCACCAATTCAGGCAAAGGTTTGGGATAACTACCAAAACAAAAAAATAGAAAAAATATTAATCTGAAGAGAAGATTTCCATTAAAATTAATTTACTCATATTTGTTTAAATTAAAGTTTCTGACTGTTTATAATGGATTAGTAATAGAAGTCAACTTTGAAATATTAAACTTAATTAAAGCATATTTGTTAAAATTAATTGATTAATTATGACTTTTTTGAAATACTGTAAACGTATTACATTTAGCGGTGTATTCTAATTTGCGATTTTGGTGGAATGCGGAGTCCGCTAATTCAAGTACATCGCTAAATGTCTTGTATATTAATATTCATAACCAGCACATTCAGGTAGAACTAAATCAAATCTACGCTAACTTGTAAAAAAAATTGAATTTCCGCCAAATATCTTACACGCCAAATGTAATACATTTACAATATACATTCTCTGAAATCTTAATGGTTTTGATACAGTTTACAATAATTAAATATAATATATTTAAATAAATATAATTATAGTAATTATAAGGAAAGTTTCATAGATACACAGAAAATTTATATATACATGCACTGATCATATAAAAGTTATAATGCCTTAAAATGATTGGCATGTGCCATGTATGTATAATCAATTAATACATACAAAATATCTCTGCTTTTGAAAAATATTACAGGGATGTACAATTATATTCTATATTCTAATTAATTTATGTTCTACCTATACCTGTAAGGTTCTGGATTAATGGGAGAGGGAATGTTGTAAATATAAACAGCTAACCATACTGCTACAAAGGGCAAAATCCAGGTCCTCCCAAATCTAAAAATTTGTAAGAAAAAATTAGGAGGCATTATACCTTAATATATGTTGGTTATTTTATTCAAATTATTATAGCATTTGTAAATACTGAGATTACAGAATCAAAGAATAAAGTAAAATATCAAAATTAAATTTGTATTCTAGAGCAGATTGAGAAAAAGACAGAGAGAGAGAACGAGAGCGAGAGAGAGAGAGAGGGAGAGTGAGAGACCGACAGAGAGAGACACTCACCCCATTGCAGGAGTAAGACGATCATGATTCATTTTCTGGCGTTTAAGCACAATCTCCCCTCTCTCTCTCTGAGTTGTGCAGTTTACATTACCGCTGGTCAGTGTACATGACTCCCTGTCCGATTGTATACAGAAGGTATGCTAGTCAATCCTGCTTTTAACTTATGTAACGTAAAACTTGGAAGAAAGCTTATATTTCATCTTGGGTTTTCTGAACTTCAAACATCTTTTTTCCTCGGTCACTTTAAGTTATGTCCCAGTGAACGAAGAACTAAGTTAAAGAAAAGAAAAACACGTGTGTGAATGCATGCACTCTTGTTGTGGTTAAAAATATTTTCTTTAGCGGTCTGTCTGCACCCCCGTCGGTGCCCCACTGGTCGTCTGGTCACCTGAGGGCATGATTTGTCCTGTGTCAGCGATCACAATACACACACACTCCTACTCGGTCAGTTAGCCTATCGAATATCACTCCAAACACTGGCGAAAAGCAGGCCTCTTGTGTTTATAAATAGTGTCTCATAAAAAATGGAAATGATTAAAGCAATAAAGATGTAAATTATGACTTCTTTAAACCATTCTAAAAAGAGGACATTGATTTTTTTTATAAAAACATGTCTTTGAAGTTTCGAGTTCAAAACGTTACTGGAGCATATTTTGTCACACATTTTTGTAAACTTTGCTCCATATTCAAATTGCACTACGAACTCAAAAGTGAGAAAAGAAGTCTACGAGGGTCGTTAGAAAAGTTCGCGGACACATTGAATTACGGAATATCTGTTGTGTACTGTGAAGTATGGCCTTTGTCTGAATAAATTCCTACATTTTGTTTATTGAGATGTAAAAAATCAGGTCCACACTATAAAACCTTGAAAATTTACAACAATTTTTACTACAAGAGGCCCAGGGGCCATATCGCTCACCTGAGTGTAAGACCTTTACTTGCAAGAATTATGCATGTAGATGTTGAGTATGAATTTCTTTTTATTCATTTTCTGTAATTGGGCTTGATCTGAGCATAAAATTGTTTAGAATGGCTTTCTTTTCAACCAGTGCTTAATTAATGCTTACAGTGTACCTCATTATCAATTTAGTCATAAAGAGGTCAATCTCAGTATTTCTGCGGAATATAGCACTTGTACTGTCAACTCTGAAGTGTACTATGCTTTTATTGAACAATAACATTTCTCTCCTTTTTGGGGGGTGTAACATTAGCTATGATAGTTACTGTGGAATCACAAATTTTCGTGGGGGTTTAATTTTCGTTGTTTTCGTGGTATGACAAGACCCACGAATTCATGTCTACAACGAAATGTAAAATTTCACACACATAAGTACTTATTGATTCTTGATCCACGAAATCAAATCCCCACGAACCAAGAAATTTTCCTCAAACCACGAAAATTTGACCCCACGAAAATATGTGATTTTACAGTATAATAAAAACAGAAAATGCGAATAAGATTTTACTTTTATTTCTTTACAAAATTCAACAGATTTGGTGAAAATTTATCAGACAATTAGTAGAGAATATAATGAAAACTAAGAAGCGTTAATAACAATCAACTATCTAAATTTCATATGATTTCAACAGACATATATAATCACAGTATCAAATATGCAATATTGCAACAATTTTGTGACAGAAATACAAAACTTCCTGACAATAACATTACATGTAAACATAGATGCTTTTTAAACAGTTCAAAATTTGTTTAGAGGAAAGTTAAATACATCAAGGTAATCGTTTGAAAGATACAAAATATACTGTATTTATTTTTAAGTTCACTTAATAGTAAATCTTTCCTATACATAACGAAAGCGAAAATTGGAAAGATTCCAACTGAAAGTGAATAATTATATGAATAATTATATGACACTGACTTTGAACATCAACTATTATTTTTAAAGAATTTTTAATAAGTAACATTTACCGGTAATTGGAGTACCTGCAGGAATCAGATAACCTAAACTTGATGGTAATATTCCAAAATGGAGTGATTAAGATTTTTGCAATCAATAATTTTGATTTTAAAGCCCAGTCATGAGAAATTATAGTGATCCACCTTTTTTTCCCTGTCTTTTAAAGGAAAAATTGTAATGTTATAAAGAGGTAGGTTTACCTCCCTTTACGGGCTGGCCATTGACCCCCTCTTTTCATACTTACCTGGGTATAAGTCGATTCTCATGAAATTATAATATAATGGTGGTCACATATTAAATATCTCAATGCTGGAGAAAATTAAATATCAATTAGTATGGAGTTAACTGAAATCAGCAATATACTAGTAGCTTAGAATGAGTTGTCAGTTTCTGTCTGATTATGCAGGTTGCTTTCCTATTCTACACAGGTATAAGCTAAAGCTAGTAAAAGTAAATGTTTAAAGCTGAATGACTTGAAATACAAAAATACAATAAACTTAACATTTTAAGACAAAAAAAATCCAAAAAGATAAAAATTCAAGACAAATTATTTCAACACAAAGTTTCATATATACAATGAACATACATGTAAATGATGTTAAAAGAAAATATTTGCTCTGGGAAAAATATTAATTCATATACACTGTAAAAAGTTATACTCTCATGTACTCCAGTATTGTTCAGCAGGGACTAAATGACACAAGACATAGTAACATTTTTAAACTTACAATATTTCTATACAGCAAAATTTTATATGAACAGATGCCGGTAATATTCGATGAATTTACTTCATAAAATTATAGAATACAGTGTTGAACATATATCAAAGATACCAATTACTTGATGCAAGTGCAACTCTAATCATTATTAAGCAGAACTCATTATTTTCTTTAAAGTAAACTTTGTAAACAATTCATGTAATCTCAAAATATTTCATGTATACCGGTATTCAAAATACAAGTTCATGATATTCATATGTATAATCATTAAAGAAAAGAATCTAAACAGTAAGGGTAAAACTATCATCTCACAAACATCAATACAGTATATTCATAATTTCTAAATATTAATTAACACATAATATATACAATGATCATCATTTTTTTTTTACATGAATGATTGTTATTGATGGTACATAAATTTCCCTTAACATGCAACATTCAATTATTTGTACATTTATTGTCTGTTAAAAATTAACCCACAATAAAAATTCATAATGAAGGATTCCTGTTTAGTACAATCATTTTAGTACAGTTATTTGCAAATTTTTAAGGCTATTCAATGCATACATATAAAAAATAGTTTAAAGTTACTAAAAACAAACAAGATTTTACATCAAGTAATTGGTGTCTATAAGATACTGTATACAGGGAAATATTCGCCCCATTTCATTTTTCCCACTGTCATCCATCTGAGGTAAGACAAATTTAAAACAGGGTAAATTAAAAGAACACGTAGTATGATTTCTTCAATAATACTGTGAGTGGGGATAATTTAAACGCTGAAAAAATTGTGTGAAAGGCTGAAAATAACACAGCCAGGGCGAATATAACCCTGTATACAGCAATCAATGTACCAAATGTCACTAAGTGACACTGGCACATCGATAGGTGGGAGAGGGGACAAGATGACGTATCTCCCCCAAATAAATACTCTTGCGTCCCTTATATCAGATTTATAAAGAATATGTACAGTAAATCATTTTATGGTCCGACCAATATGCCTCAATCACATCAGTTTCACAATGAGGGAAGTTTGTGAAAATCAAATCAAGTTGTGAACCTGAATCATGAGTTACCTTTTTGATCAATTGTGTGCATTTTAAATTCAACTTCATAAAGTTCAGAAATTCTTTGTGACCTGTAAACAAATCAAAATTGAAATCTCCAAGAATTATCAATTTTTTCTCTGTGTCTACAAAAGGTTTCAAGTGCAACATAACTTCACGTTCAAATTCTTTAAAAGAACATGCTGGGAACTTGTATAAAACAACTATCTGCACTTCTCCGAGGTCTCTGAAATTTATTAAAGCTATGATGAATTCAAGCAAAGTGTTACTGAATTTTGAGATACATGTCATCAAATGGTCTTGTTTAACATATAATGCTGTTCCATGATGAGGCCGATTGCTGTCACTTCTCTTTTCATGATTAAACAAAGTCAAGTAACCTTCCATCATAAAATTCTGTTCATCATTGATGGTTAGTCTTGTTTCTGAAAAACCAATAACATCTGATGCTACAACATTGGGTTCATTTTTAATTTCATCAAAATGTTTGTGAAGAGATCTTGCATTATTAAACATAATTTTTAGTTTGTTCTGCTCTGTTTTGTACAATGGAAGATAACACAGCTTTAGAGGTGCTTCCTTCCTCATTCTTTCCATTTCTTCTACAACTTTATCATCAACAGTTAATGCTTGCTCATTGAAATTCAGAATATGCAATTTGTCAACAGATCTAACTCTACTAAGAGCTACATAATGAATGTGGGGTGTTTTCCTTATCCTTGACTGAGATAAATCTACTACAATTTCATCAACAGTGCAGCCCTGAGCCTTATGAATTGTCTTACCTGCAGCTGGTCTTAAAGGAAACTGTATTCTTTGATATGTAGTTGAATTGAAAACAAAAGATCTCTGACAGTCAAATATCGGTGTCCAATCATCCATAACACCATCATGGAAAAGATGTCTGTATTTCTGTCGAGCAATTCTCCCTACTGCAGAATCCAAAAACTTCACCCATACTATACTTGGCCTTGATACACCAGGTAATCTGTTTTCAACAAGAAATACAGTACATGATGAACCATTTGTCAAGCCATCAGTAACATCAATATTAACTGTAATGTCATATATCATTCCAATGGCTAGAGTTAGT